GTGTCGGAACCGGAGATAGTCGAAGGAGGAACTGACGATAAGTGACGGTGAAACTGAGGGGGTAAGGAGCGACGTGGCAGTTCCACGAGAAGCGCGACAAGAAATATTTTTAAGAAATATTAAAACGATTCGACTGCATGACAAATTACTTACATTACAACCAGGCCGGCCGTGACAGATGAACCTTTACCTTAAACATTACCAAATATAACGACCACATAACATACGTAAGTTAAATAAGTATACAGTATTTTTGAACTAATATACTATATAGTGTTACAACTTATTATAGACCATAATACGTATTATGATAATGTCGAAAAATCGTGAAAAATTTGTTTAAATTTGTGTAAAATTATAATTTCAGCATAATATACGGGTTAACCGGCGAGTTTCCACTAATTAATATGCTCGCCGGAACCAGGCCGGCCAAAAGCCGGCCACGACAAATCAGCCTCACCGCAGTAACCCCGAATTAAACAGTACGAAACAAAATCACAACACATAACATACGTAAGTTATAAGTAAACTATAGCGTTACAACTTATTATAGACCAATTTGTTAATTTTCAGTAAAAATTATAATATTTCAGCATATACGATTGATTAACCGGCGAGTTTCCACTAACTATGCTCGCCGGAACTCTTGAATCCTTATGTCGCGCTTCTCTGGACTGCCAACACCGTCACGCTCCTTACCCCCCGATCTGCAGTTTCACCGTCACTTAGAAAATTCCTCCTGTCGCCATCTCCGGGTCCGACGAGCACCTCGATCAGCAGCCTGCAATAGCTGTCTACAGTCCGAACCACCCGGCCAAACGCCTTGCCGCTGCAGAACGAACACGAGCCGGTTGCACGGACGCGGGCAGCGTTTCCGTGATCGTGGTCCTTTGCAGGCAAAGGCTGATTTCCAAACTCGTCCACCTGCTGCTCCCTGATCCTTTCGGTTGCTGCCACCGCCGCTGCATGCCGTATTCTTCGCCGTCGAGCTCCCGCACATCCTCGCTTGCTCCGTCCAGAGCACTGAACCGCAGTCGGCCGGATGTATAGTTGTAGTGCACTGCGCCGTCCTGGTCCGACAGCCCGTCACCTCAGAAGATCCTCTCGTCGTCTTTGGTGTGCAGTATGTCAGTAAAATCCGCGGCAATGGACATTTCACACCAGCGTTTCTCCTCGACGGTTTGTTCGAACGTCCGGTCGATGATGTGGTCGTTTCAGAAAAAAGCATTAAAAATAAAAAAGAATTTCATTGTTTTATATAAATAAAGAAAAATTTACTAATTAACATTGATTATATTTTTTTGTTCATAACTCATAATACTTATGATATTGTATAACTAAAATAACTAGTACTACCATAAAACAATAGGTCCATAGATACATATTTACACGATGTAGAGAAGATACTTATATAGTTATATAATATATAATATCTTATACTTATATCGTCTCTACAGTCTACATCGTGCATAGGTACATCGTTTATCTTTGTTGTATACCTATTTTTTTCTGTTATTTAATAAAAGACATTTTGTTGGTTTTTAGTTTTATTTTATGATAGGTATTGTCATCCCCATAGGTGATTGATGGGCACCCTTGGCTTCAAGTAGTCTACTATAGTTACCGCACATCGGCCATATAGATAGGATATAGGACAAATTAAACAAAAGATAGACAGGATAGACAGGATTAAAAAAAAGGTGCTCTGCTGTACAATAGGTTACAAGTGGGTCACTGTATAATGGATAGTATTAAATTTGAATTCAACGATATAATATAATTGTATAAGAAAAACGATTCTGAGCGGAGACGGTATGTCAGTCTAGGTATTAGCCATATTATATACATATCTATGGTATTAAACAAAAAATTGACCTATAATAAATTCCAAATTAATCATATCACAGTATCCATTAGGTACTTATAAAGCGTTATACATCAACAACCAACCCAAGTACCCACGATTAATATTATACAATCAAAACAAAATAACTAAAATAGTTATTCTAGGTTTTTTATTATGTAATTTCGTCCAAATTTGAACTTAAAATGACTATAAAAATAAACTGTCCTTCTGTATTTTTTAGATTTTTTGATAACAGAATTAACTACTTACTTGGAATCTTGTTTTAAATTTTCAATCCTTAGATATAAAAGTTGAACATTTTATACATTTTTAACTACAAAATAATTATTGAATTTTAAATTTGATACATTTTGTCAAAATTCGATCTTTAAATGCTTATAAAAAAAATTGTGAATATGTATTTTAAATATTTTTCAACTGATATTGTAACAATATATCAGGAGCCTTGTATTCAATTTTTACACTTTTTGGCCCAACAGATAAAACATTATTGATATTTATAGAAAAAAAAACTAAAAAAATTGAAAACTGAAAATGTCCGTAAACAGCTCAAAGAGTCAAAATATTTTCAAAATTGTACAGTGTATAGAAAATGCTAATATGAACATTCAATGAAATTTTCATGTATCTACAGTTATTCGTTTTTGAATTACAACAAAATAAGGAAATCGCTACATGAGAAATCGAGTGAACATCCAATTTTGTAAAAATTTGAATTTCAAACGCTCATAAAAATTTGATTTGACTGTCCGGTAGAGATTTTTTTATTGATAAAGGTAGACAAACTTATGAGTTATCTCGTATTACATTTCCAAATCTTAGATTTAAAAAGAAAAATTTTTACGAATTCTTAACTCAAAATAATTTGCTAATTTTCGTGATTTTTCCATATTTTGTCAATTTTTGAACTTTAAATGCTTATAAAAAAAAACTTTGACTAACGATTTTTAATATTTTTCATCTGCCTTTGAAACAATATACTAGGGGCCTTCTATTAAATTTTCAAGTTTTTTTAACCAACAAATAAAATTTTATTGATATTTCTAGAAAAAAAACAAAAAAAAAATTAAAAATTAAGATGTCCCTAAACAGTTCAAAATAAATCAAAATATTTTGAAAATGTTATCGTGTATAGAAAATGCAAATATAAACAACCAGTAAAAATTGCATGTATCTACGGTCATTTGTTTTAAAGTTACACCAAAAACCAAATTCAATTTTCTGAAAAATCGATTTTGCGTAAAAATTCCCGTTTTTCCTTAATTTTTCTTTTGTTTTTCTTGGCGCTTTTGAAAAGTACTGGGAATTTTAAATTTTGACCTCCTCAATGCACCAACGATATTCACTTTCCAATCGAACAAGATACTGAAGTCGAAAATCGAAGCATTATTTCGACTACTTATCGTGTAGACACAAAAATTAAAAAATTAAAAATTAAAAAATAAAAAAAAAATATAAAAACACACATCATTGTAAAATCAATACATTCATCGTTCCACTCAGAATCTAATATTTATGAGAAAATTTTCTTAGAAAGATTATTACTATTTGACAGTCATCGTCATGTGAACCTACTATAATACTATATTAATTTAAATTTTGGCTCGCATTCTCGCATAATATGGACAGAGTGACGTAGCATACATGCGCAGAACGAAGTTGAGAACATACCAGTGTATTTAGCCATGCCACTAGATATTAGGACTATCGACCGTGGAGTTACGGATTAATCAATCCTAATAAATAATGATTAATGATCTTGGAAGAAAATCCACAATATATTATATTACGAAGCATTAAATTAGTACAATGAAATTTAAAACATCTTTATACAAATATAGCATTATTAATAAATAATATATAAAAAATATCTTTTCATTTTGTGAAGTGTATGCTGTGCATACACGGCATACGCATACGCTACGCTACTGGTCAGACACATTTTTGAAATATTAATTTGGACTTAAAATCATTTGATGAGCGATATTTTGGAATTAAAAAATGAACGAGTGTAATCATATATAATATATTAAGTGTAAACTTAACCTTAAGTCTGAAGTTACTTTTATTAAAATAAATAGATTAGGCAATAAAAGTTATATTATAAATGTGTAACTAACTACGTGATAATAACACATTTTAATTTTACATATTATTATAATATAACATACCTATGTTTTGTTTGGGTGCTCCGTGCTCGTCATAAAAGCTTACATTTTTTAAATACTATTTTGGACTTCATTTGATCAGCGATATTTTGTATTTGCCATTTGGAGCCATGAGACATAATTCTGAGTTTCAACAAATTACCAAAAGTTCGTTTTTGAGAATAAATTGTGGGTCTCACTAAAACAATTTTCAGCCGATAGTCGATACTCGATAGTCGATACCCGTTTCTGGCTTTCTGGGTCTCAATAATCAGTATTTAAAATCTACAGTGTTGCCACTTTCAGTAGGTGTTGCAAGTTTGCTAATATGATATTTCGTTTTTTTTTTCATCAATTTGTTTATAAATTGTCGAAACTGTATTTTAGTAAGCCTACTATAAAAAAAAACCGCGGCTGCGAGGACAAAACTGAAGACGTGGACAACCGACAAAGTTGAAAGTTTGGTGAGACCCAATTTTGGGTATCATGGCTGTCGTCTGTCGACGTGTTAACCACCAGCAAATACTATATATATCTATAGTATTTACCACTAGATAGTAGATTTGTAGTTACCTATAAGAGATAGTTATATATATATAAATTGTATATATTTTCCGAAAAGGTCACCGACGACCGGCATTGCCATCTGACGACACTACCGCCGTCGTGTCTAGACCTGCCTTAACATCGATTCGAAAAACGGGAGCTTTGAGCGCATAAAACGGAACGACAGAAATACGTAACAACAATAATAGTAATAATAGTAATAGCGAGAAAAGTTGTGTGTCGCGCGAGTGTTGTTGCATTAGTGCGCGTAACGCCCTGGCCGAGCGTTGTTGCATCAGTGTACGTAAAGCCTTGGCCGCGCATCATTCCACCACCTCTCAAGCCGGTTAGGTCCGCCCTTTCTACTCATCCACGTACGCTATACAACTTGCTAAGCTTTCCGACTTTCGTATTATCAGTCAATCGGCGCCGCACGCACAATGATAACTCTCACTACTAAGAAGGTGTCCGCTGTCCGCAACACCCTGCAGGTAAACTATTTAATGTGTACAATATTGCACCAGACGCGGTTAAAAATATAATTTTAATAGAACTCGTGTAATATAATATCGGAAAAATGGTTTGCATACGGTTTCGACGAAAGTGGTGCCTAAGACGCGTGTTAAGTGTAAATTATATAGGTACTACTATAAAAGAATAGATTATGGTGTTAGGAAATCGTGTGCATGATTTTCTGCAGGGCCCTCATTTCCATTTTCAAACATTATAGTCCAATCCGTTTTTACCCCCTCTGTAACATTATATTTTATACATACCTATTTCCCTAGTTACAGCATATCGTATTTACTTATTAGCTAAGGAATTGGATTCAAGTGGGGCTGCAACACCGCCATATTAGTATATTACCCTATTATAGAACATTATATGGGCCACACAGAACTGTAGGTGCTTTGCATCTGCACCTCTTTCCAAATGAAAAATAAATATTTCAAAATACTTTTATGCATTGTGGTTTGTATTTATTACATAAACTATTATAACTGTTATTTGATAAGATATTAGTAAACTGATTTGCTGCATTAAAATCAACTGTTCTTAAATAACTACTAAAAAAAAACTTAAAAAAAAAGTCTAATTATATAGTAAATTTTGCCAAATTTGTTTAAGTTATGTAGGTGATTTGTCTAAGAAATGATGGGTATATTTTTTTTTCTCATTAAGTCATTATAGGCATGTGTACATAGTAAAATATGTTTTGTATTATGTATACGTATTTATGACCTATATTTTATCCATGTATGATTAAAATATATGTATTCTTTTTAAGATTTTTTTTTTTTTATTAAGGTTAAGGCTTTGACCACTTAGGTCATTAGCCTGTGGTACTTTAGGGGGGTACCATAAGGTTGTTAACACGTGTGTATGTGTTTTGGCAGAATTTTCGATTTGGGCTCCCGTAGGTATCTGCCATGCCCGGGTGGGGGATGGTGGCACTTGTTCACCGGACACTTTTTAAGATTTATCTCTATTTAATTTTTAAATTAAATTGTTTATAATTGTTTGATAAGTGATAACCTCTACTTATATCTTCTTACTTCTTAGTTTACATAAAATACAACAATCATCATCGTTCGGGTATTTGGTATTCACCAAAGATTCTCGAACCGATATATCGTACATAATATTAATCTATGATACCTGAACCTAATTAACAATAATAATTATATTAATTTTTAGTAATTATTTATTACCAATTAGACTGTAAAATAGTGGGTAATTGGGCAAACTTTAATTAAAACTTGAGAAAGAAATATTTTATTACTGAAAAAATTATAATAGGGGCCAATTTTATAGTCGTTGCCAGTGAAACCCATATCTTTTTACGCCACTTCTCCAGACTACAACTCAACTTTATAACAAATAATGAAAACAATTTTGACACGATAGTTTTAATTTGTATCTATTGCATTAAAACTAGTTTTTAAAACCAAATTTCATACCTTAACTGGAATAAAAATCAGCATTATAATCTATTGAGTCCATTAGAGTAAATATTGAGAGTTTCTCTTTCTTAAATATTATCTATATATATATATATGCCATTTTGGAGGAGGGTTTAGGGAACTATGAACATTTTTGGGATTTCCCTCAAGGCCTCTATATAATTTTGTCTATGGACTATGAGTGATTCTCTTAATTATACACGATATCAGCCATTAAATATAATACGTTCACGTAAGTCATAGGTGCAACATTTGCTGCATATGCTGCCCCGTGCAAAGCACTTCTATGTCTTTTACAGTTTTACTGTGGTCAGCTGTGAGGTAGGTCGTAGGTACATTGGTACTCGAAGCTTATTAGGTGATTGCTGTAGCCGTGAGGGGATGGTTGTAAGAAATGTGTGACATAATTTTACTCTGGTAACTCGTAAGAGGATTTGAAAACGAAATTTCTACTACTAACATAGTAACATCTATTAATAGTGTAATATATCCACGTCAGACCCTGCAGCGTGATATCCAACAGACATTTATAATTTATTATTTGACGAGTGAGCCTGACACGCAATCAAAAATATGGGTTTACTCCCTTGAATGATACACCATTAAATTAATAAAGTTCTAATGTGAAGAAAACGCGCCTATTGAGGGTCAAAACGTCGAATAACAGACGCCGGTGTAGAGCGCGATGTTTATTTTAGTATACGGGAGCGACGCCAAACATTTGATTATTTTGTCAACAGGCAAGTCTTTGTAGTATGATATCGCACCTGTGTTATAAACTACTATGCCTACTAACTGGCGTCAGGTGCTCGCCGATCGATTACTATTATTACCTAGTTGCGAATTAATCATGTACATCATGTACCGAAAGTTTAAATATCTACAACTGCGCAACTTTGTAATATAGTGTGGTAATATGCATGATGTGTCCGTACTATACTGATCAACAACAACATACAAATTTAACAGTACCTATATTGAAAATGTATATTTTCGATTAGTTGTGTTTTACAATATTTGTTAATGGATTTAATGTATGTATCGTAATAATAATTAAGTATATGTCATTATATAAACGTAGCTTACACTTAAACCAAACAATTCTATAATTAGTCTTCTACTGAAATAATGAGAAAAAATTAATGTTTGTTGACATTCAAGCAAGAATTTACCATGCCAATAAAAACGTTATAGAAATAATAATAATAATATATTTTAGAATATCTAATGCAAGTTTTCGATAAGTTGGTATAAGTATACTTAACTAATATAATTAAAACAATAAATTATTGTTAACAGTTTTAAATTATCTTGTCCTAATATTGTTATATAATGTTAAATAATGTATAATTTATAGGTACCCTGGTACCAACATTAAAAGTATATGAGATTATATAAATATTGAACAAAATGTATTCAGTTAAAATAGTTAAATATAAATAATGTGTGAATGACTTTATTTAATTTTGTTTTTACAGAAGTTAACGTCGACATGGCAATGCAGAAACCTTGCAACTGAAGCCACATTCGATATAAAAGTTTGTAACATTTAAAATAAGATTAGAAAACCAATGTGAATATATTGTATTTTTTTAAGTTCTGAATGAATCAAAGAATGTTTATACATTATTTTCTATTTGCACTGTAATTATATTGATGCGGTTGATAATATATTCAACTTCCCTGTACCTAACCTTTCAGACAGAAAAGTAATTTCAAATAGCAATATTTATAATAATAGATAAGACCTATCATTCTGGACCTGGTATGTATTGGAATTTGGAAAGGCTATTTTTTGATATAATTTGGTACTCACTATATTCAGTAGGTACTAGGTAGATATACTCAACACCAATTCATAACCACACCTATAATGTAATTTCAAATTAAAAAAGGTGGAAAAATAAAGAAAATCGCAGAGAAATCTAGAGAATATCCAATCTTGTAAAAATGAGAACTTCAAACGTTTATAAAAATTTAATTTAACTTTCTTGTAGACATTTTTTTTTTTGATAAATGTAGGCAAAGTTATGAGAAATTTTGAACTACATTTTCAAATCTTAGATTTAAAAAGAAAAAAAATTATGAATTTCGAACTTAAAATAATTTACACACTTTCGCGGTGAAATTTACGTATTTTGCAAAATTTTAACTTTAAATGCTTATAAAGAAACTGTGACTGTATTTTTAATATTTTTTGGTGTCATTGTAAAAATATATAAGCAGCCTTGTATTAAATTTCCAAGCTTTTTGACCCGAGGCATAATGTTTAATTGACATTTATAAAAAAAAAGTTTAAAAAATTGGAAAATCCAATATGAACTTTTAGTGAAAATTTCATGTATTTACGGTTATTTGTTTTAGAGTAACACCAAAAACCAAAATCGATTAACCAATTTTGAGTAAAAATTACCGTTTTTCCCCGCACTTTTAAAAACTATAGTTTATTGAGAATTTTAAATGTTGTCTCTCGAATGCACCAACTAGATTCATCTAACAAGATACTGTTGAAGAAAATCGAAGCAGTTTTACTGCCCCAAACGGTGATGACAGACACACACAAAAAAAAAAAAATACACATCATTGTAAAATCAATACGTTCATCGCTCCGCTCAGAATCTAAAAGGTGGGCAAGTGCAGGGGGATATCCCGAGAGGTCCTGTTTTTAATTTTTGACGTTTATTCATAGCCTGAGTGTAGGTGCCTATTTAAGATAAACTAATCGACTAAAAACTTTTAAGATATACGTCTGACTATAAAATATGATATGGTTCAAATGTTCAAATGTAATGCTTTACTTGAAATGTTTACAACTATGACAGTGGCAAAGGTTTGGAGACTTGCATTTTATTTTAACTTCAATAATAATTAAGCACGACAACAACTTACTAATTTACGGTAAATAAGTGCTAGTGAACTGTTTACTTCAATATTAAAAAAGGTGCTCTGCTGTACAGTAGGTTACAAGTAGGTCACTGTATAATGGATAGTATTAAATTTGAATTCAATGATATAATATCATTGTATAAGAAAAACGATTCTGAGCGGAGACGGTATGTCAGTCTAGGTATAAGACATATTATATACTTATCTATGGTATTAAAAAAAATTGACCTATTATAGGTACCTATAATAAATTCCAAATTAATCATATCACAATATCCATTAGATACTTATAATGCGTTATACATCAACAACAAACCCTGATACTATCATAGATATATAATAGTGTACTTTAGAAATTTCAAGTGCCCACGAATAATATTATACAATCACAACGAAATAACTAAAATAGTTATTCTAAGTTTTTTTTATGTAATTTCATCCAAATTTGAACTTAAAATGACTATAAAAATAAACTGTGCGTATGTATTTATTAGATTATTTGGTAGCAGAATTAACTACTTATGTGGAATCTTGTTTTAAATTTTCAATCCATAGATATGAAAGTTGAAAATTTTATAAATTTTAACTACAAAATAATTATTCAATTTTAATTTGATAAATTTTGTCAAAATTCAATCTTTAAATGCTTATAAAAAAAAGTGTACCTATTTTTTTATTTTTTTTCAACTGATATTGTAACAATATATCAGGAGCCTTGTATTAAATTTTTACACTTTTTGGCCCAACCGATAAAACTTAATTGATATTTATAGAAAAAAAAACTAAAATAATTGAAAACCGAAAATGTCCGTAAACAGCTCAAAAAGAGTCAACATATTTTCAAAATTGTATGTTGTATAGGAAATGCTAATATAAACATTCAGTAAAATTTTCAAGTATCTGCAGTCATTCGTTTTTTAATTACAACAAAATTAGAAAATCGTTACCTACATGAGAAATCGAGTGAATATCAAATGTTGTAAAAATATGAATTTCAAACGTTCATAAAAATTTAATTTGGGTTCTTGTATAGACATTTTTTTTTTTCATAAAGGTAGATAATCTCATAAGGAATCTTGTATTACATTTTAAAATCTTAGAATTAAAAAGAAAAAAATTTTACGAATTCTTAACTCAAAATAATTGGCTAATTTTCGTGATTTTTCCATATTTTGTCAATTTTTGAACTTAGCTTATAAAAAAAAACTGTGACTAAGGAGTTTTAATATTTTTTATCTGCCTTTGAAACAGTATACTAGGAGCCTTCTATAAAATTTTCAAGCTTTTTTAACCAACCAAAAAATTTTATTGATATTTTTTTTAAAAAAAAACTAAAAAAAAAAATGGAAAATTAAAATGTCCCTAAACAGTTCAAAATAAATCAAAATATTTTGAAAATATTATCGTGTATAGAAAATGCAAATATAAACAACCAGTGAAAATTTCATGTATTTACAGTCATTTATTTTAAAGTTACACCAAAAACCAAATTCAATTTTCTGAAAAATCGATTTTGCGTAAAAATTCCCGTTTTTCCTTAATTTTTCTTTTGTTTTCTTTTGAAAATTACTGTAAATTTTTAATTTTGACCTCCCCAAGCACCAACGATATTCACTTTCCAATCGAACAAGATACTGAAGTTGAAAATTGAAGCATTATTTCGACTACTTATCGTGTACACAGACACAAAAAAAAAACACACATCATTGTAAAATCAATACATTCATCGTTTCATTCAGAATCTAAAATATTATGGCCCTCAAGAGAACGTGATGCCCGTATTTTTTTTGTCTCCTTCTTACAAGTGCATAACATAGCAAATTATACGCAAAGCAGAACACGTGTAGCTCCGTTAGCTTAAAAATTAGAGTAAATTGACTTCTTATAAAATCTAAAGGTAAGATTATTATCTAGACAACCTCATGAGCTTTTTATTAAATTTTAATTTTTAAGCGAGTTATGAGTACTTTAAAATTTACAAACAGTTTACAATTTTAAAATTATTGTAAACAAAAAACAATTTTGAGCGAATACGATGATTTGACAGTCAATATTACTAAGTATATTTGATGATATTATTGCTGTTAAATTAATTTATTTTACTATTAGTAATACAGTAGGAATTAATTTTTGCCGGAGAAAATGCATTCGAAAATGCCATTAGGTGTATAAAATATAATAATATACTTTATGGATACCACGTTCCTCCCCAAAAATAATATTTTTAAATTACGGCAAAATAACTAAAATAATTTATTCCAAATTTGAAATTAAAATGTCATTGATAGCCGATGCCTGATAGGACTTATAATTTGGTATGAAGGATTACTAAAATGTATTTTAAATTTAAAATTAATTTCAATCATATTTCTATGAAAACCCATACAGAATATTTTAAGATATAAAAGGTCCACTTATAATATAAGACGTTTAGTAGTACGCGTCTACGTTGAAAGTCTAGAATTATGATTTTAATTTTCAAATAAGTACAGTCGTTGCCAGATAAATTGAGACGGCGGCGGCGATGCTTTTCAGTAAGTGTAGCCCAAACTAGTCGCTGGCAGGGTGGTGCAAAGTTCACAAAGTTGGCTACGGCGCGCGCAGTCACCAGTTCGAACCCGGCTTAGTGCAAACAATTTTATTTATCATTATTATTATTATATCCACTGATTTTCCGTTATCGCGCCGCCGCCGCCGCCGTCTCAATTTATCTGGCAACGACTGTAATATTATATTTTTGCATGAATATTCTTAAAAAAAATAATACAAGGTGCGTCTTAATGATTTCCACTCGAATATACATAGTATAGGTAGGATTTTATTAATTTATTGGCTTGTAGTATTAAAATGATAGGTACCTAGCACCAATATACCTAGTAAAACTTTTTGGTGTATAGGCGTTCAAACTTCACAAATTAGAATCTGGACCCAATACCACAGTAACCGTAACGAAAGAAGATGCCATAAATTACTACAAGCAGATGCAGTACATCAGACGTATAGAGACGGCAGCCGGTAACTTGTACAAGGAGAAAATCGTCAGAGGATTCTGTCACTTATACTCTGGACAGGTTGGTATATTCTTATTATACTGTTCCAATGGCTATCGATTTTATCAGAAAATTTGTCAACGTCTTTAATTGACTGTACCTATGTATAATATAGGAAGCTTGCGCGGTGGGTATGAAATCGGCATTCCGCGATCAGGACTCAATAATATCAGCTTACCGTGTTCACGGGTGGACATACTTGATGGGTGCAAAACCTGTGGAGGTGCTGAGTGAACTCACCGGTCGAATCGGTGGAGTAGTTCGTGGTAAAGGTGGTTCCATGCACATGTATGGTAAAAACTTTTACGGAGGAAACGGCATCGTCGGCGCTCAGGTTGGTATACACATAATATGAACTTGTACCATTCATGATCTTATAACAATTTATAGTGAAGTATGGAACTCGTCGTATCTTGTAAAATTAAACCGTGTACCTATTAAAAAACTATTACCTATAGTATATTAGTATGTATACTATTTTATATAATATCATTACACGCTCCAAACGTTCGAACTTTAATCAATTCGTAGGTATATTTAAATTCTAAGTTCATACATTATAATAGGTTATAATTTATCAAAGACTTTATAATTTTTGTAATCCCATTTTACACAAAAAAAAAACGGAGATACGACCTTTGTGGTTTAGGCCTACGACCGGCGTAATATAGTTAAACTATATAGGTTAGGTATTTGGTAGATAATATCATAGTTGTGTTTTTCCATATTATATGCATATTGTAGGTACTATAATACATTTATACCTACAGGATATCGTAACCTATTATCTGAAAAAGGGGAAAACAAAATAATTTAATTTAATTAACTAAGATCTCAGGTAATCTCTAACCTAACCCTATATAGTATATACATACTATTTGTCATTAATTGATATTAATTATTTTGATCGCTTTATTCTTGTTTAGGTTCCTTTAGGAGCGGGCATAGCATTGGCTGCACAATACTTAGGCACCGGAGGAGTATGCTTTACTTTGTACGGAGATGGCGCTTCAAATCAAGGTCAAGTGTTCGAAGCATACAATATGGCTAAGCTATGGAACCTGCCCTGCGTATTTGTCTGTGAGAACAATGGGTATGCAATGGGAACGAGTTCTGAACGGTCAGCGTCAAACACGTCTTACTACACCAGGGGCGATTACATACCCGGAATTTGGGTAAAAATTGTGTGACAATCGACCCCAGTGTTCACTAAAATATTTTAGAGATTCAGCTTAAATATTTTTTCTCAGATAATTTATTACAAATTCGAATAATTATTTTCCAATTCCCGTGACTTAATTCAATCATTTAAATCAATATTATTATTCAAAAGAAATAGGTGAACTTTAATTTATCCAATATTTTAAGTAGGTAGGTAACTAGGTATACCTACTTACATAATAACATGCCCTAAATGGCAATGTCTACTGTAATTTCAGTTTCTTTGCCATTTAATAATGGTAGGAATATATACTGAATAACATTATATAGACTTCCTACAATCCTGAGTTAATGAAGCAAGATGAATGCTGAATATAAAATCATTAGGTCCTATATTATAAAAATTATATTCTGTCTAATTTTTTTATTTAAATTAAATTTAGGTTGATGGCATGGACGTATTGGCTGTCAGAGAAGCATCAAAGTTTGCGGTGGATCACTGTGTTAATGGGAATGGTCCGATACTTTTAGAAACAGTCACCTATAGGTATTCCGGTCATTCAATGTCGGATCCTGGCACATCTTATAGAACTCGAGCTGAAATTCAAGCTGTAAGGATGACTAGAGACCCAATCACATCGTTTAAAGAAAAAATTCTCTCTACCAACCTAGCAACAGTTGACGATCTCAAAGTAATAATTATTTTAATACATTATAATTTTCTCTATGATTATTTACTTATTAGTTACTAGTACCTACCTATTTAGTATATTGCACTGTAAATTCTTATTTTTTATTTAGAAAATTGATAATGAAATAAAAATAGAAATTGATAAAGCGGTTATAAAATCAAAGGAAGATGAAGAAATTACATTGGATGAGTTGGCCAGTGATGTATATTCCAAACCACTCGAAAGTGAACATCGTGGGGTAGTACCCTGGCAAAAGATAAAACATGTTAGAATTGGACCAGCCTTTAATAGTGTGTAAGATTATTAAAGTAAATTATGTCAGGGTAAATGCAATTTGTAAATGTTGTACATTTTGATGTGATGGTGTCGAACTACACTCGACAGGGTATTTGTTTTTTGAATGTAAAACATATTTGTTATCGTTGTTACTTGTTAATTTGTTCTCTCATAAAAAATATTTTTCATTAAATGTTATTTGCTCTTAATCTCACCTCTATTTTTTTTTATACCAATTGTTTGTTCCATTTAACTCAAAAAGTATAATAAAATAAATCATTCACATTATTATTTATACTTTATACCGAGTCATATTATATTAACTCATATGTAATGAAAACGGTATTGGTATATTGTACAAAACAAGTTATGAGTAATAGCCAATGGGCGACCAATAACTAATAATAATTAAATCATGAAAATTAAATCTAAATATAGTACCTACAACCTACTTAGGGTATTTAAATATCTTAAAAACAGTATATGTAGGTACTTAAAGAAATGAATTTGGTCCAACTCTGTTGAGTAAATATTATTGTAAATTGGTGTTGTACACTTTTACTGCTCTAAAAGGATACCTAGTATATTGAACTGCTATATTAGGCCATAATAAATCTTTATAGCTTTTATGAAAATGTGTGTATCTGTATCTATATTATGGCTGTAAAATTATCATCCTTAATTATGTTTTTGTAATTAGTATGAGGCTGATGAAATGTTAATTTAAATATTTAAATATATTATGTTATGAACGATGATAAATAATAAACATTCTTTTTTAAAAAATAAGATAAGGCAAGATTATATGTTGGTAGGTATTTTTTTGTTCATTTTACCATCTATATTCTATACCTAAACATATTATATTGTTGAACATTAATTTGATTTACAAATATAATATATAGGCAAGAAAGCAATTACCTGTATTACCTTTATTAAGTTAGATTTATTTTCGTTTAGTAGTGGGTTGATTCCATTAGTTCCTAAAACACTAAATAACTGATGAAGGCAATGATTCCAAATCAATTATTATGTCAATTTATAATAAATAATAATATGTTATTATGTTAAATTGTTAACTTACTTTTGTAAGTTGATAAAGTATTATAATATCAATTATACAAGGGTCATGGGCTTGCTCATGGTGGATGAAGGTGTCTTATCCCCCCTTTGGCTTATTTTTGTCATATCAAATATATTACTATAAAGCAATGAGAGTATATTTACCGCTATATAACGTGGTCTGAGAATGGTCAACAATTCATACTTATCCTACCCCTTTTCAAAATGCTGAGCACTTCAATATAAGTATATCATAATATTATAATATGTGTTAACGTTTTTTCCTTTATTTTATATATGCACAATTAATTAAAGCCAATGCCGGTATTGGTATGCCGAGAAGGCGAGAGCTGAATTAATAATTTTGGAAATCCACCTAGTATCGGTATCAATAACTGTTTAAAAACTTGCCCATGCCAGCATCCTTATTTTTGTTACTTAACTAGCATTATAAAATATATCATGCCTTTCTGTCTTCAAGGCATAACACCAAGTATATTTACTTATTTCTACCTAACAAGGTTACTTTTGCATATTTAAAATCCAATATTATTATGGTTTGGCAGTTTGGCCCACTTCTTAAATTGGTTGGACTGAAAAATGAATAATCGTCTCCAGAGGATGGATCGTTCCAGAAAAGGTTGGTGGCCTGCATAAAAATAAGCGTAGCTATACAAGGTACCTACTACCTAGTACCTACCTATATTTTATTTGAAACAACTGTTTCGCTGCCCTTGCATCCCTCACGCCATCCTTCACAACCTAATATTAACAAATACGAAATACGATTCATACCTACATAAATAGTTAACAATAAGTAATAACCAACCATGCACGTATATGGTATATCATCTGAAAGCTCTCAACTAAAATGTCGTTAGGTACCGGCATGTCAATAATTATACTGGCCTGCTTACTGAATATTAGTAGGTTGCCGTTTTTGGGTAGCTTTTGCTGAATATTTAATAATAAAGACTACAGGTTAACAATGATACTAAATACTAATATTATTTTATTCGTGTAAATGTCTAATGAACGCATGGTTTAAAATATGTTAGCTAATAACCTTGTTATTGTGTCCTTGTAGTTGATATTCAAAATAAATATATTATATTCTTTTCGAAATTACGGGTATGTTACCAGGGGTGTCATTTCAGTTTATTGTCCGGGTGTGCAAGATTTTAGGCAGGCCAATTTTAACATTTAATATTTAAACAATAACCATGTAGACATGTAGTTTAAAGTATGTTAATATTATCTCCTTTTATAATCCTAATTAAAATTAGTCATATCAACTAATGTATATTGACATTTTCAAATAGCTAGCAGTTCAATGTATTAAAAGCTTATAAGCAAATAGCTATTTTACTACAATTTGGGGAAACAAAAAACAAATGCAGTACAAAGAAATTTCTTTTAATAAATGTATTTAAAAAACTATATACACTATTCAATATTCATACAAAATAAAACATTATTAATTATTTTTAAATTTAAATTAGTGGATATCTATACGGGTTCTAATATATTATGTATGCTATTCTTAGTTCTTACACCACTATAGCTGATACCAGCAGGCTGGCGCGAACTACCTTATATAATGAAACGCGCTTCACACGGTTATCAAATAGGGATACATTATTGATGATAAAGCTGATAAAAATAAATATATATTACATGCATAAATATTTTATTAAATTTTAATAGTAATCATATCGGCGCATAGGAGCATTAATGGAGGGCCAATTATTTACTCTATTATGTTAGTGGTGCCGTCGCACACCCTGCTCCCCCCCCCAAATCACGCCCCTGTGGCCTGTATGTTACTATTTAATATATCGTGTCCAGCGACATAGTACGACTAAGACGACTACGTTCGTCGAAAATTGGAATAATTACAAACTTAAAATATTGTAGTAATATGCTACTTACCTATATTAAATATTATATTTTATAAGTTAGGTTACATAATATTAGCATTAGAATACATTATATTAAAATTGGGTAGGTTAAATAACTTAAATGTATTTATGATTTATAGTTATTTTACACAAATATAAGTTATAAGTTATAGCGGCCAAGCGCTGCTATAGCCCCCCCCTCTTTTAGTTACATCGATGCGGCTATCTCTATATGTTTTGTTTCTAACTTAAATATATTAAGTATAGGTAGTAGCGTAGATTGGATATTTTTTATTTAATCTGTGGAGTTAAATGTATTGGAGAAATAGGATTAATTTTTTTGTTTTTTTTTATTGGGGGGGGGGAGACTAGAGTTTCTCTCAATATTCGTTTTAAAAAAACGTGAGGCATAACCATAAGTGAAAATCCATGAAAATTTACGGGGGGCTAACATTTTTAACATCAATGTGAGCTTCGATCCCACACAACTAAAAAACTGTATATTTTTTTGGTGAGGGGGGGCTAATGGGATAATTGTGGGGTGGCTAGGCCCCTCAAGCCTCCTCCCTCTTATATCCCAACTATATATAATAGTTATCGATACACAAATAAAATTATAAAAATGGTTATTCCTTACTCGTTACTCATATAATTTACATTTAGGGGGACGAGGTGGCCGAGCGGTCTAACGCGTCGACTGCGGCGCTGGCAGTCGCGGGTTCGACTCTCGACCACTGGGCGGCATTTTTCTCCGGGCAAGTCACGGTGTCCGGAGTACAAATGCCGCCATCCCCCACCCCGGGGCATGACAGAAACCTACGGGTGCCCCAATAAAAATTCTGCCACCACAAACACACTCGTGTACCAACCTACCCAATCTAAAAACCTACAGTTCCCTCCACACACCCAATGGCCTATGTTGCCGCGGGTTATCCAATAAAAAAAAAAAAATTACATTTAATGTCTATTTTATATTTGTCTATAATAACCAAATGGAGTAAAAATGTAAAATAAACAGCTCGCAAACAATAAATTATCCGTCATAAAATATTACGCACTGTAATTCTATTCTCTAGCCACATTATCTACGAGAAAAACAACAATTATTCTGGTTGTCCGTGTTTATCTCACCTATCATAAAAATATTATACCTAGCTATGTCATATAAGTACCACAAAGATATCATTTTGAATATTTTTTTTTTATCAATAATATTTATTTGGTTAAATATCAAAGTTATAGAAAACAATGTTAATTACTAGTACTTACTTGATAATAGGAATTGATTTGAGGGACTTTGTAGTGTTTTTTTCTGGGGGGGAAGTGCTTAACTCGTTTATGTCCAGCATGGGCGTAACTAGGATTGAATAGTTGCAGGGCCTAAAGTCCTATAGAAAACCAAAGTGTAAAATACACCGTGTGATACAAAGCCCTCCCACACCCCCCTAATAAGCGTTACTGACATTTAATAGTCACAAAAACTTTGATAAAATCAAGTATTTATACTTCTAACTCTCACAACAATTTAATTTGACTTTATTTTAGATATTTATTTTTGATAAAGATAGACAAACTTATGAGCAATCTTGTATTAAATTTTCAAATCAGATTTAATAAGAACAATTTTTACGAATTTATAACTTAAAATAATTTTCACATTTTCGTCATTTTTACGTATTGTGTCAAAATACGAACTTTAAATGCTTATAAAAAAATTATTGTGACATGTATTTTTAATATTTTTCAACTGGTATTGTAACAATATAATAGGAACCTTGTATTATATTTTTAACTAATAACATTTTATTGACATTTATAGAAAAAATTGAAAACTAAAAATGTCCGTAAACAGCTCAAAACAAGTTAAATATTTTGAAAATTGTATCTAGTAAGGGAAATTATAATACAATGCTAAGGTATGTTTATACATTCAGTGAAAATTTCATGTACTTCATTCTACGGCCATTATCGATTTTGAGTAAAAATTACCGTTTTTCCATAATTTATTTTAGTTTTTCCCGGTGTTTTTGAAAACTACTGAGAATTTTTACATTTGACC